GAGCGGCTGCATTCGAAGTGAAATTGGAATTATGGGGGCAATGAGTGAACATTGAGGTTTTTGACATGCTTCAAACATGAGCAGAGAAGAGATTGAGCCAGGGCTGCCTTTCTCCCAGCTGGTGCATGGTCACCTATCTCAGCTTTCAAAAGAGTGTGAGCATCGCTTCCCAACCACAAAAAACCCCAGAATTGGAAGGAATGGATCTGGGACAGATTTGTGAATAAGCCAGATGAATGGACTTTGTCTGTGGCAGAAGAGGGTCAGCTGCTTGAGATCGCAAATGATGGTGGCCTTAAAAGTATGTTGGAGACAATTTCAAATCTCCGTATGTTCTGGACTACAGTATTGCCACAAAATTGCCACCCTGGTATTGCCACAAAAGCACTGAAAACCCAGCTTCCAGATTCCAGCATCCTGTCTTGGTGAAGCAGAGTTTTCTGCAGTGACGGCAAGGATGATGGGATTATGGAGTAGACAAGATGTAAGCAATATACTTGGCGTGTCACTGTCTCCCATCACTGCTAGATGGGACTGTCTAGTTGCAGGAAAACAAGCTCAGGGCTCCCACTCATTCTGCATTATGGCGAGTGGTATGACCATTTCATTATATATTACAATGTAATAATAACATAAATAAAATGCACAATAAATCTAATGCTGTTTGAATCATCCTGAAACCATCCTCCCTACTCCCGATCCATGGAAAAATTATCTTCCATGAAACTGGTCCTTAGTGACAAAAAGGTCTCTGGTATTCAGCGCAGTGTGGTTTGTCGCCTGGGAACAATAGGCCACGCCATCTGTCTGTGGCATTCACACAACAACAGAGTCTTCTAATGATGCATTTCTCAGAACCCATCCCCATCGTTAAGTGACACGTGACTGTTTTCAGCCATACTTAGCATTCAGCAAATGTTGGCAGAATTATTATTTGTTTTAAAATATCAAAAATTGAGTTGACAAACATTTGTGCTGCACACTTGCACATATTGCCACGTAGAAAGATGCCTCAACTATGTTTTTACTTCTGCTTCAAAAGAAGGAAGGGTTGACTTGAAGCGTTCTCAGCCGTTCCCTGTGAGAGGCCCTCCCTGGGTTTCAGAATGAGGTCAGTTAGCTGGTTTATGGCCGTCTTTTCTTTGGGAGGTGGGAAGGAAAGGGAAAACTGACTGTGCCTCGAGTGCTGCAGGCCTGATTTTTGGCTCTTCTCTGTTTAATTATTTGGAGCTGGAACAACTTGATTTTAAAACAAAACATATGGCCTGAGAGTAATGGGGAGGACATTGCACAGTGATGTAGCTCTGAAGGTATGTGTTGAGCTGAGGCCCGGGCTTGCGTGCTTAGGTATTGAGTGTTTCCCTTAACTTCAAATTGTGTTCTTTTTCCAAATTCCTAAACCTTTGTTTGGAAATTTGCAGTTAAAGCAGGAAACACAGGAGCAAGATTATGATGGAAATTGTCTGTGAGTCTTCTTCAAATCTCTATTTGTTTCTTTCTTTATGGAAAGCCATTGGTTTCCAAGTTACTATACGGTCCATGAAAGAGAGGAAGGTGGACCCACCATTCAGTCCCTGTGTTCCTGCACTTGACTCCCGTGTAGGCACCAGAGTGGGGAACCAGTTTTTATGTGGAGGCAAGGTTTCTGTCTCTTTTTGCCCTGTCCTCAACCCCTTTGCTTGCTGAAGGAAGGATATGTAATGTCCTAATCCTATGCTATGCAGTTCTAGCCCTAATGCCTCAGCCTTCTGCATCATGGAGGAAATGGGAATTTATCAGGACTGGTGAGACTTGTACTGTTCTTGCTTGAGTTTCTTCTCAAACCATGTGTCTCTGAACAAATTATTTAAACTCCGTAGGCCTCCTTTTCCCTTTCCTAAAAAGGGAGTAATAGTAGTGCCCATTTCAAAGTACATTTGTTGTGAAGAGACATCGCATGCAAAGCACTAAGCACAGTGCCCGGCAAGTGATGAAGATGAGTAAATGTTAGCAGCTGGGCAGGGCCCTGGGGAGGCACGTACCCGACCCTCTGCAGCAGCGTCTAGAGTGGTGATTTTCAGCCAGTGGAGAGGATCTTAGGTGTGCTGCAAAAATTTTTAAAGATCACTAATTAAATAATTTTCAAAAGAAGTTCAAAACACACTTAAGTATTTTTTTTTTTTTTGGTTGCAGCCATCGTTGTTGTTTGGTGGGTGGGGCTGGATTTGAGCCCGCCAGCTCAGGTGTATGTGGCTGGCGCCGTAGCCGTTTGAACCACAGGCCCTGAGCCAAGTATTTTTTTTTTAAACTCTTATTTTTGGCCCGGGGCTGGGTTTGAACCCACAACCTCAGGTATATGGGGCCAGTGCCCTATTCCTTTGACCCATGGGTGCCACCCCCCCTTTTTTTTTTGTGATCAACATAATTTAAGTGTGCCATGGAAGTTTAACTTGTAGGTTTAAGCATGCTATGAGATTTTTTAAAAAGTTGAAAAACACTGGTCAGGTACCACAGCACCCCACCTGTGGCTTGTGGTGACACTGTGACTAAAGGCTGCATCAGGGAAAACATCCAATCGGCCGTTTGCTTTCAGCATTATACAAGTCAGCCGTTTCTCTGTGATGAATTTGGTGCCCCTGAAACCTTAACCTTGCACTCCTATGCTTTCTAGATCTAATGGAACCTGGGTATTTATTCACGCAATCCGTCGTCCTGCTTTGCCTCCATATGTATTAGAGTAACATGCTGAATTGTTTTATTTTAGTACCACAGAGTCCCAGGTCCCTTTGAGTCGTTGGGGAAATCATTTCTTATTTTAAATCTGAAACATAAAATGAAATAGTGCTCTGATCAGGGCAATAGATGGACTGACCACAGTTTATCTGTTGGAATGTCGAAACAAGAAATTTTTCTAAATACTTTTCAGGCAGCTCCCCCGTAGGAGTAAGGGTAAGAAGAAAGGGGGTCTTCAATTTTTGCCAAATCAAGGCATGTTTTTTTTTGTATAGGGCCCAGAACATATTGGATGCTGTCTTGCTTCAGTGTCAAGAGATTGTGGCAAGCTCAGGAAGGTCTTTTAAAAACGCCATCACGTTAGCTGAGCGTTGTGGCGGGCGCCCGTAGTCCCAGCTACTTGGGAGGCTGAGGCAAGAGAATCGCTTAAGCCCAAGAGTTACGTTGTTGTGAGCTGTGATTCCACAGCACTCTACTGAGGGCAACATAGTGAGACTGTCTCTCAAAAAAAAAAAGAAAAAAAACCACCACCACGTGTTCCATGCAGCTAATTGTTGGTCTGTTTTCAGTCTGTTCTTTTCCCTCTGTGATAGCTGTCATCTCAGTCCCCTTGGGATTTATAGTTGTTGCCTACGAAGTGTCAGTAACACCCTGCTGTGACTGGCGGAAACCCTTTGCCAGGTGGACAGTTCTCAGATTTCCCTGAAACTGTAAAAAAATAACCACCCTCCCTTTTTCTCTGCACACCCCTCTCAATAGACAGCTTTCTTGACATTTAACTTAATCAAGATGTTAGTAAAATAAACAATGTGTGCTGCTGCCATCAGGCTGAAACTGCCTGTCAACCTGCCCACTCCTTTTTCTCTTCAATGTTTGGAGAGTAAATTCAGAGTTTCTATTGATAATAAAGATGAGGGAGGAATAAAATGTATCTTTCCTCCAGGTCAGTTATACCCAGTCCTGATCACTGAGCTCTTCCTCCGGGGATAGCTGCATACAATATGTTATCTAATCTCTGGCACCCTACTTATAAAACACACCATTATTCTAAGTGTCATCAAGGGGGAAAAAACAAACTGAGATGCCATTGATGTTATGATAAGACCATTCTGATTTCAGAAGTGTTAAAATGCGGAGGAAAAATGTATATTTTAGATGGATGGAACACAGTGGGAACTAATTAAAATGGAAAGTCTACCCACCTCCTCACCGCTGCTCATTAGCAGAGTTGTGAGATGTGTGGGCGTGTGTGAGGTGCACCCTCGCTTTGGGGCTGGGTGCTTAACACAATCCCATGTGTCATTCATGTGTCTCCTGTCGTAGGTGAAGCCAAGAAGAGTGGTGGACATCCTGAACTATAAGTAATTGATGTTTCTGAAAAACAGAAGTATCTAGGTTTTTTTTGGGGGGGGTGGTTATTGAACTTGATGAGATTCTTAGTACCTTTTGAAAGCCTGATAAAGAGCTCGTTGAGGTAATCAGGGCTCTGAGTGCCTTCTCCGACCTGGGCGGTTGATAATAGCTTCATGGTAAAGAGAGGACCATAAGCTCTCCCAGACTTATGCCGCTGCTTCTCTGTTTTCTAATGGTGCCAGCCCCAGCTCTGTGAGGACATCCACCCTGTCTTCTTCCCCTTCTCCACTGAAAGGCAGCATTAAGACTTATTGGTTAGCTCGGTGCCTATGGCTCAAGTGCTAAGGCGCCAGCCACATACACCTAAGGTGGCGGGTTCGAATCCAGCCCGGGCCCAAACTACAATGA